AATTTTTATTTAAATTTTTACATTGTAAAAATTATTATTTAAATATATAATTCGTTTTAAAATATAGAAAATGTTTTATTTAAAATTATATTAATACAAGAAAAGAATATGAAAAATAATGAGAGAATTTATTTTTTTTTATATTTAAGGGGGGGGAGTTTCTTAAATTAAAAAATATTTTTGAAATAATCAGAGTTGTGATTAAGCATTTTAAAAATATTTAAAATATATATAACATTTTCCCCTATATAAATATTTTTGAAAACTTGAAGTCTTCATTTTTTAAAATATTTATAGCATATACTCCATAGTCCCTCCCTCTCTCCCCCCGTGGATTTGCTAGCATTCCACAGCACATTTTCTTCAAGATTGAAAGAAAATCTCGTCGAGTGTGCTTCCATTTATTTTACGTAGTTGTTTCGGAAATTTTCTCGTTCGTGTTATACGGTCGTAAAATTCCGTGGCGAAATTTGGTAGTTGTAAAATTGTCGTGAAATTTTTCCGTAGGTGATGAGCCGTCGGAATATTTAAGGAAGAGACGTCTGGTATCAACGATCGAGACGTCACCATCAAGAAGCCTTCTAGAGCACTCAACGGTAACTTCTATCAGTGGACACAGCAGTTATGTCGGATATTGCACGATCCGCAATGGTATGCCACTGCATGAGTTCTCCAATTTGTCAACAAAGCACAAAAGCGTGAGTTCTATTAAAGATTTGATAATATAAATGTCGTACAAATATCTCGTGTAGATATTTAACGAAATAACAAAATAGCTTACATCGATAAAAGTACAATTAAATAAAAAAATAACTGTAGCTTAGCTGGATCTTAGTGCTTAATTTCGATATGAATTTATAGATATCCTGTTTTATAAACTGTGTGTCGATTTAATTTTCTTGAAATACAATTTAAAACACAAATTACAAATTAAATTTACAAGTAACTTGATGTTATTGTAGATACTAAACATTTTTAAAAATACTAAAGAATTTAATTTGTGATATTATCCCTCTCCCCCCCCCCTCCCCAGTTTAAAATCGTATCTGGTATTTCAACACCGAAAGTGTTGTATTTCAATATCATAAATGAAAATATCGTGCAGTTTATAGATATTTATATAAATTCACAATGAAATATTAGCATTAAACCTGACTAAAATCGAATAAGACATTTTCTATTTAGTTAAATAATTAAATTGAATATCAATGAGATACAATGATAATGTCCTGCGATTCTCTCTCTCTTAAACAATTACATAACTTTATATGACTATATTAATTCATCTATAGAGATATATCTTCGAAATCTATGAAAATCATGAATGACACGTTTCAGTTTCAGCCGATGGTGGGTGACGTCTATGAGAGCGGTATGTGTACCCTACCTAGGCAACATTGGCCCAGCCAGAGCGTTCAATCGATGTCGATGACAATGAGTCCTCCGATATTGTACGCCGGTCTGGGCGTCGTCACCAGGACCTGTCCGAGCGGCACGCTACCGACGAAAGACTGTGAGACACGAGTGCCCGGTCAGTGTTGTCCATCAATCCAGGCGCAGAAGGACGCGACGATAGGCACGCCAGTGGTGATGGCCAAGAGGGAGAGCTCTGTGTGACCCTACACCCACCACGGGGCCTGCACCTGCAGCGTGAGCGAGTTGCTGTGAATCACACCGTTGTCAATCGCGAGATAGCCGTGGATCCTGGATGACATGAGCGTCCAGGAAATGTTCGGGAGATGTCTACAGGTCACGCGAAAATTGGAACGTCTTTTAGAAACGAAGCTTCAATTTAAATTCCGAAAGACGTTTGGACAATCGTTATTTAGATCTGAAAATTGAGATGTCTCCTTTGAACGATTTGTAGAGGGATGTTTTCTTTTACCAAACTGGAATGTCCCTCCGACGTCGCTTATGTCGTCCGGAACGCTTGGGCGAGCCGGTTTGAGTTCGACAGATTTATGTTTTCACTCCACAAATGTCTACTATTTGCGTCTCTCTGTTGAATCAAGTGCCCTTTTTACACTGAAAAACGACGAATATCCCGACCGGCTGATCTGCCGGCTTCTCTCATCCCGTGTGCGTAGCCTCGTGATCGAGCCCCGGTGGAACCAAGACGGGCACCTTATATGGTAGAGAGAGAGAGTGAGTTTACGAAAATGTGCGTGTGCGCGAGCTCACCAGCTTGCCGCACATACTTCTGTACATACCTCGAGACACGGAAGATATTTTGTACGAGACGCGTATATTAACGATTTATTCCCACTTTTACTATGAACACAACACTGTACAATTTGTCTAGTCGATGTAAGTATAAATATGTATATGCGTTAAAGTCGTCGGGGAGGCGTCAGATCAGAATAACGTACACTGAGGGGGATGATCATCACCGTCGCGGGTCACGCCGCACGCGATATAATTATTTATAACGTTGACAATGCGTAAATGCGAAATAGCGGGACTCTCGCGGGTACGGAAGAGAGAATGGGGGGGGGGAGAGGAGGGGAAGAGGCAAAGTTGTCAGAGACATATCGTTTGTAGTATCTCCATCCGCGGGAATCGAGTATGAGACGAGGCGTACGAAGAGCAGCGAAGTAATGAGACGAAGAAAGAGAAAAGAATGATTGAAGAAGAAAAAATAAAATAAATCCCCGTTGCGCTTTCTCAGTCTGCAGGATTCTGGATTTCATCGTAATATTAAGCATCTCTTGTACAATGTATAAAATAACGACTTCCTTCGAAGTAAATGTACCGAGTATGATGAACATTGTTTTTTCAAAGTCTTGAATCTTACTCTATATAGAGAGATGGCCCCCAATTAAAAAAAAAAAAAGTGTGGTACAGTAATTGCGATAGCATTTCTAACTTACTGCCTGTTTCGACGCTTATGAATCTCGTTGGTAACTTCATTTGGCAGAGGTTTCCCGATCTCTCTGTATCATATAGCTTTAAAATGACAAAAAAGAAGAAGAGAAATGAAGGTTCGTCGAAGGGCGCCTCGTCATATCCTCCGTACGATACAGAGATAATCTCATCGTTGATTAGAGCGGCCCGAGTCGCGTCTCTGGGTACCAGGCTGCTAATTCGTGAAAAGTAAAGTGAAAATTGACCATGTAGCCTTTCCCTTGATATCGAGCAGTCGATTACTGGGCGGTGCATTTCAGCTATATATTATTACGTGAGACGCGCATCAGAAGTCTCTCCTTTTCGCGCGAAGTGATAATACCTCGTACTTTGCTTCGATCTGTACAGATTGATTTTTCGCATATAGGATTTATGCTCCAAGCACGCGACGATCCTTCTGCGACTGCAAGGACTCACGGAAGGACTGAGAGTCAGAATGCCCTTCATACAGCGTGAGAAGAAGAGAGAGATCTTTCGATGTTCACGTATTATATCTAAATAAGATCGTCGTGTATCTAATCGTTCTAGAATTCGATAACATAATCGTAATTAATCCGATGATAAATGATCGCAAATTTTTTCTGATGTTACAGTGTGTTTTTACGCTCTCTACGAAGCAGCAATATCGATCTAGTTTAGAAAAACTAGAACAGGAATACGAGACGAAACTCTTTCAAACGTCTCGAGAGCGTGAAAGTTAATTTAACTTTCTTCATTGTTCTTTTTACATTTTAATTATTAAGTATTAAATAATTTTCCGTCTCTTTATAAGCGAGTTTTATCTACAAACGATTTCTGTCTCTTTTGACGCGGCCAAGTCACCAAAAGCCAAAAGTTTCGTTGAAGCAGCACGATATTTGTCTACCAGATCGAAACTTCGCGTAAATTGACTATAAAGGGAATGTAGGTTGTGACTGTTTGCAGTCGCGTCGTCGTTGCAGTCTGTTATACGTGCTTGCAAATGAATATGCATAGGAGATGGTTCTCATATACGGACGAAGCATTCACGTTTCCGTTCGCCGTGGGAAACGACAAGTGATTATCGGGGATACTTAGCGAATTATTCGATGTGTAAGGAATGTAGAAAACGGCGAAGATTTTATGAGTCGTAAAAAGCTATCACGAGAATTTCTAGGGCAAACACGTTGTTTTCTCAATCGCTTAGACGTTACGTTAACGCGTCGCTCCCGTGAAGATCTATTAACATTAAAAAAAAAAAATGAGACGAATCGTTGATTATTATTATTACTGCCATTAATGGAATTGATGTCGGAACATTGTGAGTGTATGTTGTCGAAGAGAATTTTTAGTAATCGTTGATACGCAATTGATACGCGCGTTCCTCCACCTCCTCCCTCCCCTCCTCCCCCTCCCCTTGTTATAACTTTTGCACATACATAGAGATTGTAGTCGTATACAATGTAAAAGAACGTTGCAACAAAGAGATTCTGCGATCCGACGACGGGGAAATGTCACAGAAACGAAAAACGTACAATAAAACCTGGATCCAAACTGCCAAAGTTTTCTATACTTCATTCGTATGTATCATTATATACGCCCACTATACTATGAAAAAAAAAAGTATGAACTTTTTAATAAATAACAAATAGATTTTTTTCTAACAAAAGACACACAATTGTCTGAGAAAATATATTTATTAATTCCATTTTATCGATACGTTTAATTAAATTCGAGGAAACATTAAGAGGAAAAAAAGAAAGAAAGAAGATAAGTCATTTTTCCGCATCTTGCTTGCGAGACAGTTGGTTTCCAGGGCACATTTCTATTTTTCGCTGTTCCGATGATCCGGAACCTTTCGGCCATCGAATGCGTCGCGAGGCATAATATCGCAAGGCGGTGGCCAGACATTATTATCTGCAAAACGATTAAATGATATTTGTCAGCCAGCACTGGAAGATTAACGTGAGTGTCAATGTTCAATCGCGCATGAATCGTACAGTTAATCCTCAGTGAAAACATCGACGTCGATCGCACTCGTTTCAGTGTAACTTAAGTATCGATCGAAAAATGAGACATGTTAAGAGGACGTTGTTTTTTTTTGTTAATTTTTTTTTAAAGGTAAGAATGCATTTTGCTGCACTGTTCCGTATGCGTCACTGCCTGTATATCGTAATAATGAGACCGGATCTGACCAGCCGCCGCTTGCGCAAGACAACATTGAAGTTTGTATATGTACTTAGTTTAGGACTATCTCCGCCATACACACAAACACACACACACGCACACACACACACACACACACACACACACACACACACACACACACACACACACACACACACACACACCATACATACATACGCACACTATACATACATACGAGTCTCATGTACCCCAGAACGTTTTTTTGATATTGTAAATATTCTGAAATAAATAATCGTTTTTATTCACGCGATTCGCGTGATTATTGTGTTCCTTAGCGGTAATCTTTGCACAGATCAACGATGATTCCTCTACTGCACAAAGTTACACAAAAGTTGTAGCAATATTGAAAAATTTTGTTGAGTTGCAGCTATATTGCTGCAAATTGTGTACCATATGAGTTTGATCAGTTTTTTATCAATGTCATAAATCTATTAGTTTCTTTGTTAAATTCACAAATATAAAATGCGTTCCTACTATGTCGAAAACAAATTTTGCAAAGTGTCTGTTATCAAATTCAACGGTAGAATGCCAGCAAAAATATAATAGTAAATTGTAATAGTAAAATATAATAGTAAATTGATTGATAGAAATCATATAATTTAAATTTTGGAATATATCATTTCATTGTTATTATTAATCCATTTATTATTATTTCATTTCATTATATGTTCTATTCAAATGATTACGAAATAACAGATTCTGCTCGAATTTCTACTGGCAATCTGTCGTAAAAGATTATGTCGACACTACTAGCAGAATACGAAATAAAATCGATGCCAATCGAGCGCAATAATCTTCTGGAATCTACTGGTATACAACTAACATTTTGCTTACTCGATGTACGTCAGTACATGTAATTCTTACCGTCCCAGAATGCACTCGGCGATGCATCGGAATACATTTGCAAATACTCCTCGACGGTTTTGAGCACGGGCGAATTCACATTCAAGAGAAACTCGAGAACTGTGCTCTCGGGGAGATACCAGGCCGCTTTGTCTCCCAAGTTTCGTAGCACGTCTTGAATGTTGATCGACTGTAAAATCGAATGAAACTAGCGTCACGGGATAGAATGGAGGAAATTCTTAGCTTTATATGTTTAGTATCTCGAATTCAAAATCCTTCTTCTCCTTTCTCCAATAATTCTTTGAAGCCTCATCAAACCTCTGTTTGACATCCGTACAGAATATTGGACGTTTTACATCTCCCTTAGATCTCTGTAAAATTGCGAACCTTTGTGTGCATCACGTTTGCAATATACTTGCATAACGTGTACACCTTTATTAGACAGTTTGAGACTTGCTTTAGAATGTCATCCAATGTTTGAGCTTCTAACGTCCCTATTAAAATCGGCGGTATCATGTAGACGTGGCACCATCCTGAGAAGAATCTCTGCAAGTACAATATATATATGTGCAATTTTTTTTTTATGTATATCCACATGCACCACATATCAGGGCACCGACTTGATGAACGTGATGATACGAAGGCAAAGGAATTGCTTTTCCGAATTTGCATTTATCATCGTCCATGTCGTACATAAGCTTGTAGTGCTTATAAATGATATCTTCCCATGCCTGTCAAGAAAATAAATCTCTGCCTTATTTCCATTTCTCTCTTAAAAAAATAACGAATAGATGAATCACAAATGAGAATCGCAATCATCAAAGAAAAATTTTACGATTCGAAGGTTTGCAATTTAAATAAGTAAATTTACTTTAACATTTTCTTCTCTTATGATGTAACTTATGATGTTATGTAATATGAAGGTAAAAATATTGAAATACCTCTAATATATGAATGTAATATAATGGATAAACAAGAAATAATCCTGTAACGGGCATGTAATCTATGCGTAAATCCCGTATAATATTTTCCATTCTCTACGAAATATAAATTATTTAAAAAATGCTTTTCAATCGTAACTTATGTAATTATAATTTGAATTAGTATTGTTCATAAATATAAAAATATTCTCTGTAAAAATAGTCTCTATATAACAAGAACATAAATTATCTTTGACATTTATTTATTAACTTCGTTGAATATTGTTGTTAATGTCGGCTAATTATATTTGCTATTTTCTCAAAATACAAAAGTTTGTTTTCGGAGATTATTGCAGTATCGTAGTTATATAAAACTCTAAGAAACAATATATACAATTTACGCTGATACTTACCTTTCGTAAAACTTCATGAGTTCCATGATATTTCCCAATGTAAATGACTCGCGTAATGAAAGATTTCTAAAAAGAGCATATGACATATATTTCAAGAAAAAACTATATAAACTTTAATAACTTACAATTAGTATCATTTTTGTTTAAACTTTAATATTACAAATATTTTATAAACAATATTTTTATACGTAAAAGTTTTATGTCACCATTTCAGTATTTTGATTAAAAATTATTAATTATAGATACACATTAAACAATCAAATAGTACAACTTACGTAACCAATGGCGCGAAGATTATATTGTATCACATCTAAAACACTTTTTCGCACTGGTTCGGTTAATGACGCCATTGGAAGTTTCGCAACATGTTTTTTCTTACTAGCCATTAATGCGTATTATATTCTACTGTTAACTTCGTAAATTCGTCTTTCACATAAAAGCAGAAATTCTGCATATATTTTTAATATGACAACGTAATGGCGATGATGATGAAAAGAGTAATCTGAACATTCAAAGAATTCCTGTTCAATGAGAATGCTTACTTTGAAGCTATCTTCGTGCAAGTTTTATATACACAGTGAATAAAATACATATTCAGTATCATGAATATTTGAATACTTAAATCTGTGCCAAAAATTGAGCTATTTTTCTCATGGATACATAAGAACGAATAAAAGATAAAAGTGAAAAACATAAATTGGCAATGCTTTCGGATGAAGGACAATTAATATATGTATTAAATAAAATGGCCAAATAATTTTTTTAAATCAGATCTCTAAAAATATATTTATCATAAATTTCTACACTTAATGATAGGTTGCTTTCGCAAACCAGAGATCCATGAAATCTATATAATTACGTAGAATCAAAATTTAAATCTAAATACGTAGTATCAAAGGATTGCTATGAAAAACTAAAGTGATAAAGATTATGCAATAAACGATTTTGCATTTTAATTCCTCACGAAAGTATATCAGTTTAAGCGTTATCACAAGAGAGTTAACATCAATTATCATTTATATTATCGCGCTTATTCTAAACATTATCTATTAAATCACATTGCTAAATTGCGAAGAATTCTAATTATTTTTTTGCTATAATTGGCAACAACGGCGGTGTCGGCTCGCTAGGATTACCTAGCCACACGGATTTACTAAAGCGTCCCTTTATAACGGGCGCTTGCCACTTGTTACTGGACACGACGGTAGCCGTTGGTTTCTCCGCCGTGACCATGGCTACGCTTACAGTCCTGAAATAGTAATAAAGATTATTTAAGAGTATATGAGTGAAAAGTTCGCGAACTAAATGTAATAATGCGAACTAGATAAGTCTCTAGTTTAACGAATTAAAATAAAACTGTTTACAGAACATCACGAAACGAGATAATAAAACAAGAATATTTTCATTATACATTCCTTAGGAAAGAAATAATTACTGTGGTGAAGAATTTTTACACGGAACTTTAGTAGAACAAGACAGGAGAAAATGAAAAGGTATTCATAATGCACAAACAGCATTTATTAATGAAAAACATGTTACAAATCTTTTTAAACGCCGTTTATTTTTTAATAGTAAATTTACGAAAAAATAATTTCTCCAAATTTGAGTACGTATTAAGAGTTACTCCCCGGAGCTTACTATAATAATACACACTCCTATTCATATCCTTCACCCATATCCTCACAAATTGTTTATATACTTTATCAGAGCTTTCTAACTCGCGCACCGCATATACGAAATTTCGTGCTCGTGGCGCGCGAATTGGAAAGCTCTACTTTATATTATGTATAAATTGCTCTACGTGACCAGTATTTTGCAACATTAAAAAATTTACAATTAATAAATAATGTGACGAAATAATTGAAATGAATTTGTCATAAAAGAGTAATTCTAATAAAACATAAAATTATTAAAAAAATTATAAGATGATATAGTAGCAGTGTAACATTTATCACATTGTAAATGTGTGATTGTTTCAGAGAACAAACCCAATGTTAAAGACGCGATTATAATAATAAATTATATAAACACAAAACAATAAAGATGGATGGAGAACATAGGTGAATCATAATGTTTATGATAACGATTATACATTTTATGTTTTCTATCTGACAAAAACTAGTGCGTAAATAAACACAAAATAATTCACGATTGTCTATTCTATAAATTGATTAGGTCTTCTAATGCCAAGGTACTTGACTTGGATGACTGATGGTACCCAGTTTGTAGTACCTGGTGGTAGATGGCATCTGTTGAGCTGGTGTAGACGAACTCGGCGGAGTCGCTACGATGGGAGTTTCAGCACCCTGAGCTGGAACACCGTCTCCTTTGAGAACAGAGATGCATTTCCAATGGTTAATGAAATTATCCTTCCACAATCGGACGCAACCATCGTCGCCAGAACTTGCTAAAATCGTTCCCATACAATTCCAGCTAACACGCCAGACGGTGCAGTAATGATCATCGAACTGTGCGACTACATTCGTTTCAAAATGCGATATACCGGTCTGTGTACTCTCGCTGAAAAAAAAAATAACATACATTTACTTTCCCGTTTGCCTATTATTTTTTTATGCAATCTTGAACAGTTTTACTTACTCTGTCGGTTTTAAAGTAACTATCCGTACATCTTTTGTAGCTATAGCCAGTGTGTGGAAATTTCTGCCTAGATTAGGAGCAAACGCAATGTCATAAACGGCATCTGTAATGCTCGACAATGTCTCGGCCTTCACCCAACGCCTACTGTTCTCAGAATATTCGTAAATAAAAATTTTTGCTCCAAGTGTAGGATTTGGATCGTCGCTACCGACTGCTATCATAGGCGGATGTAGTCTAAAGTATATTTTTATCAAATATTAATACAAGCATATTAAGGAGCCGATTCTGTAACTCTTAACGAGTTGTTGATTTTGTTGCGCAGATATTATTAGAATAAAAAAGCTGCGCAATGACATCAACTATCGTTAAAAGTTACAGAAGTTGGTCCCTAAAATTGATGTTATTTTATCTTATACATTACATGTTATTATTACATAATATATTATTAAGTCTTATTATTATATAATAAATTATATTTTTAATATGAATAACAAAAATTTAAAAAAAATTAGAAGATAAAAGCACACTTACCTGGAGAGAGATGGATTCCATGTAAGACAACTACATGAAAGTTTACAGTTGATGTCATGTTGTAACGTCCATTGGCTCAAATTCATGATATCTGGTGCTTCATATATCCGAATAAATCCATCTGCACTACAAGTTGCCAGAAGAAGGCCTAAAGTCTTTGGTGCAAACTTTACATCTGTGACGGAAGTACGTGAATCAACTAAATTTGTTCTTTTAATCCAATGTTTGCTGCCACGAGCTTCTGGTCCCGAACCTTCTCCAACTGTCAAGAAAAAGAAAAGAAATGTAGGGAACAATAGAATATAATGTCAAGGTTAGAAACATGGAAGAATAAAACAAAATCTATACCAATTTCCTCCCAAACAGCAGCAGTGCGATCAAATGAACATGTAGCGAGAACCTGACCAAATTCTGGGTGTGCCCAAGTGACTTTCCACACTGATCCACTGTGGGCCTTCCAAGAAGCAGTTAGATGCCAGTTTCCATGTTCATCTTCATCCCAAACCTGTAATATTAATCTTATTCATTAAACCTATAATATTTCAAAAATAAATATATATTAATAAAAATTTTTATAAAAATTAATTCTGAATTATATATTTAATATCTATATTTAGCGACAATTAAGTATGTATACTAGGAAGAATCGTATGTCTATAAGTCTGTTTTTTATAATTCAATTAGTACACACTTTTTAAAATTAAAGTGAAATGGATATAAACTAACAAGTAAAATATTTATGTAAGCCTTTACCATATTGATGCTTAAATTAGTTATTCATAACACAATAGATATATAAATCACAATTAATCGAGATGTGTTTACCAAACAACGTCAAACAAAGTCAAAATAAACGCAAACATTGTGAGTTGTGTCTACCTATTATGAATATATAATTTAAACGTATCAAACATCTATAGATGCTCACATAAGCTTTTTGCTTGTATCAGATGTATTTTTCTTTCAGCTGGAGTCCACAAATATTAACTACTTTATTTTAATTTAATTTCAAATAAGTTTAATATTTGTTGAAAAGGAGAAAAAAGTTCTATAATGCAGTCTAATGCAGGAATAAAAACAGATCTTATTCCTTCGTTTACTGTACCTTTACAAATTGATCACTGGAGCACGTCGCCATTCGTTCCCCATAATAATCGTAGGCGATATCGTGTATGAGATCTTTGTGCTCCGCATTGATGCTGTGCGCCTCGTACATCGCGAATGAAATAAATTTCAGTAATATACACTCGAGCGAGAGATTGTTTACTAAACGCGCCACACGATGAAGGTTATGACACAGCGTGCTCCGTGTCGACACTGTCGACGTCTGTCGGCAACAACAGAATTATGGGTGCTCGAATCCGTTCGAATCTATGCAAGATATGTGGCAGCGCTCTCTATATCGTTTCAAACTTTTTTCAAATATTAACATCTACAAAGCTCAATTTAATGAAAATTACGCTGAGATTTAATTGCCAATCATGAAATATAGAACGTTAATAAATTGAACGTTAATAAATTGAAGAATAATTAAAGAATTATAAATTAAAAAGTCTAATAAAAATATTATATTTCGTTCCTCTTCTATCCTGCAACGAAATATTATAATATAAAACAAATATAAAATTAATAAAAAAATATTTGCTTTATAACATAAATTATTTTATATATTAAAATTTTATTTCAAATATTATCACTTACTTTGGAGGTGTCCCATAAAAAATTGCTGAAACTAATCAGCTGTCTATTTCTATGCATAATTAATATAATTTAATATATATAAATATGTATAAGCATACAAAAATATGTATAATCATACATGGAATATGTACATCCCTCTTTCTTTTGTAAAATTACTTTTTAGTATAATGGAAATAATAATAATATATAATAAACATGTATATTTTATGCATAATCATGCATAATTATGCATAACATAGAAAATAATAAAAATAAAATATCTTTTATATGGCAGTTTTATTTACATATAAATAAAGTAATAAAGACGATCGGAAACATTTTTATTATTCAATAAATGTTTATAAGAATGTTAATCTCATAAAATATATATCAGAAATTTAAATAAAATATTTTATGATTATTAAGATGATTGGCAATATTTGGCATTTTTATAAATATTTATTAAATGATAAATTTAATTGAATTTATTAAATGATTAAATATCAGCAAAGAAAAAAATTTATTAAAATATAACAAAAAAATTCTCAACTTTTATAAGCGAATAGATCGATATACTTTTTTCTTCATTTAACAACGAGATTAAATATTGGCAAATTACTTTTCTCGTATTAATTGATTATGTTAAACGTTACAAGATCCTCTAGGACAACTAGCATTACGGCGCAAAAGTCGTGTGTAAGGCCGAAGGCGGTTTCGGATAACACTTTGACCCGTTCGTATGGTGTCCGTTATCCGAGACCAACTCGCTCTCATGCAATTGCAGCTGCAAATGTATTTCTTGGCCACCCCGGCTGATCGTCATGAATGCGATCAGGTGTATCGCGATAATGACCGGATATTTTTGCGAATCTCGCTCCAATAATAGCACCGACCGAGCCATCATTATCGTGTAGTTAAGGTTGAATATCAGATGATCCCCATACAGGTAACAACCGATTATTATATTTATCCATTATAATATATAAAAAAGGAAATATCTCTGAATTGAATTCGTTACTTTTCTATAACATTTTTATGTTTCATTAGATATTAAGATAATCCAAATAATATTCTTTATATTTTTTATTTCTGTTTCTTTTCTGTTGAAATAATTTCATTGACTTTTTGAAAGAAATTAAAATCTAACAAAGTGATATCAAGTAAATGAGATAAGCATTAAGAAGAGAGAAATTATAATATAAAATGCGATTGACATGGTTTTTTAATAACTGTATATATTTTAAGCTTGTAGAAATAAATGTGAAAATTAAAGAAGCACTAATCAATCAAACAAAAATAAAATAAATGTTGCAATAATGCAGAATGGTATTAACAGGAAATAATACTAAAATAATTTCTCGAATATTAATACATCGAGAAGAATAGCTTATTCGTCGAGTCCTGGCATTGCTGTCACCTACACCCTTTATCGCATTTCCGGGCCATATTATGTCTATAGCACTTGCATACGGTGTAAATAAATACTCCATATCGTGGAGTGTCATCAGGCACTTCGGCCAGTCGTCTTATGTGTGAGATATGGCGATACTTCGTCGCCTTCGAGTCAGTGCCGAGATCGAACTGTGAAATGTCGGACTGAAGCTTCTTTGTGTTAAAAGAAAAAAAATCTAAAAATAAAAAAGTCGAGTGATATTTTGCGATCGAGCAACTAGAATTTCCATAATTACGCGAAAATTATTAAACGTAATCGAGAGTAGAGAGATTAGAGAGTAAAATCAACGAAAGTGATTTTGATTTGTCAAAAAAAA